GCAACTTGCCGGTATTTAGGTAGACTGTACAGGGTGTAACCTGGGAATTGGTAATACTTCAGTTTGTCATCCGAAATGTTAGCTTCCATAATTGTGAAAATGTCTACATCATAGGTTTGCAGGATTTTCTGTATTTGGATCTTTTTGTCCGGAGACATTCCTCCAGCATTCCACTGGAGGATCTGAAGACATTGTGATTCGCCCTGACGAGGGCGATTTTTCTTATAGCCTTTTTCAAAGCTAATCATAATTAATCGAAGTCAAAAACGTATGCCGATTGATAGACTTTTTTGCCGTAAGAAAATACGTTGTCCAGGGTGCACCACGAGGAGGTAAGTCTATCGCGCACCCCAGTTTAAAATCATAAAATTGAATTAAAATAGCCGATTCTATGACTTACCAACACTACAAACAAGGTAGCCCCCGTCAGCTAATTATTTTGGCAAACAACTACGATCTTCTAATATAAGGTGGGATTAATTCAACAGAACATTCATGCTAGTACTTGACCGTAGTTGAGCCCGCAGAGATCTCATGTGTTTTCTTCTAATAAGTAGATTAATCTCCGATAAAAGAGTCAACCCTTGACAACTCGTATGTAAATAAGGCCAAAGTACAAGCTTTGTCACTTGATTTAGTTCAAACTGCCAAAAAATATATGTAGTCGAGTTATATTTGCATTTCAAATATTAGCAACTAGTTTTTTTCATTAAACTCTTTACTGTAATTTTGTCACTCCATGAGAACAAAAGTGGAGTGAGCCCTAAACCATGGTCATATTGAAGCAATAAGGTGTTATGAAATGTTGAATGAACTGACCTTAACGAGTTGAGCAGCACAGGCAAGACCAGCAGGCCCAGATCCAACAATGACGACACGCTTCCCGGTCAGCTTATTGTTGGGCACTGGTCGAGGTATATTGAGACCTTTCTCCCAGCCCACTTCACCGATTGCGCACTCAATGTTCTTGATAGTTACCGCGGGTTCAATGATTCCCAACACACAAGCGCCCTCACATGGTGCAGGGCAAACGCGGCCAGTGAACTCAGGGAAATTGTTTGTCTGTGCCATTGCCTCATATGCAGCCACCCATTTGTCCTATTACCAAGAAACAAAGCAATTCTAGGTGACAAAGATTGTGCTTTAAGGAGATAGGTATGGTCATGACTCTTATCTCACCTTATGTATTAGATCATTCCAGTTAGGAATAAGATTACCCAGAGGACATCCAAATTCAGATTGACAGAATGGAACACCGCAGTCCATACAACGAGCAGATTGAGTCTTTAGAGTTTTGCGAACATTTTGATGAGAGTACACCTCTGACCAATCATTCAAACGAACATCTACTTTACGATACTTGACCTTTGTACGTGGGTACTTAACGAATCCACGAATCTTGTCCGGCTTCTCCACAATAACCTCACCATTCGGAAGTGCATCCTCGATATCACCACTCCTGATGACATCCTAGGAAGAAAATTAAAAAGTTTAAAGTTTGCAACTATATCAATGACTTATACCATTTAGGTAAGTTGGCTACTCACCCCAACAGCTCTCACGGCAGCTGCTGCTACAGCATCTTCATCATCAGGAGGGACAACTTTGCAGGATTTGTTTGGCTCTACTGTGGTGCTAGTTTCCTTCTTTTCTCCTGCAGCCAATTCCTGCAGTGCTCTGCGGTAGTCGTTCGGGAAGACGAGAACGAAGTTTTTGACTTCTGTATCCCAATGTTTGACAACCTGCAACGCGATCTAAATGGGAAGTGATAAAAGTGTTAGATCTGTGACACGTCTCTTAAATTATAAATTAGAAGGTACAACGTACCTTAGATCCAGTTTCATCAAAGAATGTCTTGATGGTAGTGGCAAGCCAACTGGCATACTCGTTATCACTATCCATGTCGACCAGGGTAACACTCTGAGTATTACATCGAGTTTTGAGAACATGATCGACGTCGTAAACAAAGGCCAAACCACCAGACATACCCGCAGCAAAGTTTCGACCGCAACGACCGAGAAGAATCACACGACCTCCGGTCATGTACTCGCAACCGTGATCACCACATCCTGATCAGAGGAAAAGAATACTTGCATTAGTAGTAAATGAAAAAGAGGATGTCACTCTTGTAATCAACGTGCAATCAATCTGGTTTAGAGCAGCCGTATCGATTTTCGCCAGCCATTTACAATCTAGAATTAATTCTTGAAATAACAAAGAATTCGATTCATTCGTTTAACACACATCGTACGGTAAGACCAAAAGCAGGTCAGACAATTGCCATCTGTGGGTAAACGAAGTCATTATAATTCCAAAGCTTGCAATAGATTGCACTTTTACACAATTACAATGAAGAGAGTAGTAGCCTCATAGTCATAATCATGAGAAACTCTGCATCTGTCAGGCTCAGTTGACGTGATTTGGGAATTTCATTCACCAAAGGTTGCTCATCAATGGGCATAACTGTCTCGGCTCATTTAAAAGTACATCTACACACAAATAGGCCTTGCTCAAGTATCTTATAAATAATAATCTCCTTCGTATTCGAATTCACATATAAGGAAATAGGCATAGGCCCTCACGCTTTACCCTCACCTCCAGTACCTCTCAACCCATTCTTAATCACTAGGTTCTCAGAAGACTTCGTACTACACCTCGCTTATGTCAGCTCACTGACGATCATCTATATATTGCTTAAAAGCAGTCAGTATTTCGGTTCCTCCTTTCAACTCATTCTGGTGGCAAACAAAAAAATATTAAGAAAGCAGATGCATTAGTCCACCAGCCTGTCTCTCTCAATTAGGTTACGACAGAAGCATTCGTAAATGGTGTCAACTTCAACTCGCCTTCAGCCACGACGGTAGCTCCAGAATTTCTCACACAGAATCTTTCGGCAGCCTGACCACGAATGAAGACCCGGCCTTCGATAGCACCATAAAGACAGGCATTGCCAACAATAATATGATCTTCAGAGCGGAAATTCTCGGTGAGCAGACGTCCCGCTGGAACAATCGTCACTTTACCACCCGAGAGACCTTTGCCAACGTAGTCGTTAGCATCACCAGTCAGCATTACATATACTCCTGGTGCCAAGAAGGCGCAGAAGGATTGACCTGCATGACCTCGCAGATTGACCTATCAGAAAATATGGCAAATTAAACGATAAGAATGAAGATTGTGTACATAGCAAGATGGATAATTATATACAGGGTGTTCGGGATAAATTCATCGAACTCATCGGGAAAAAGAAAAATAGCACTTTGTAGCTACAAAACTTAATAGATTTTAAAAATTCAACTGAAAAAAATCGCAGTGATATAAAAGAGCTTTACTCAAATCAAACAGGAAGTTTTGCCTTGCCCAAAAGTTTCCTCGCCTTTCTTAGACAACTTTCAAGAGCCTTTCTTGAAATGTTGACCTCTGAGAAACTTATTTCTGTTTACACTGTGAGCAAACTTTATGCCAGAAACATTGAATTTCAATTAACAATGGTACCAAGGCCCGAATTGCGATGCCAGAATGTTGCAACACTTTCTACAGATGATTTTAGATGAAATGTGCTCTCCGAGTGCCGATCAGATAGCCGTGTAATTTTTGGGGAGTTCAGAACATCACTTGAAGAATAATCCTAGAATTTAGTAGTTTGAGACAAATGATTGTTTATTTCCTGGCAGATAAAAATGAAGACTAAAATTGTGAACAAGTATTCACAGAAGAGATGAGACATTGGCCAGAATACCTGTGATGATTCATTTCCCAAATGTTAGTACAAAATGTTAACTTTGGCTAAATAAATTATCATCAAAAGATATGGAGGAATTCGACCATGAGTCCTACAAAGTACCTTTTTCCTTACATTAATGCACATAAGCATGGAAATGGAGGCCAATAAAAGCAAAGATAAAGGCACAAGCGAGTTGATTACCACAAAATTCCTTTATGCAGACCGTTTTGTTCAAAAGATCTGTTCAACAACAGTTAGGAGACTGGTTGGGAAAGCATATGAGAATTTGATTAGTCAAAAGAGCTCCAATATGTAAAACCAATTAACCTATTGATTCTGAAGCTTGAATGGAGAAGGGTTTTCATGATTCCTTGACTGACTACCACATTTTCTGTCTTAATGCTTCTTTCATGGGAGGTTTCCACTTCTATACGGTGGGATAATTTCAATTGTCGAGAAAAAACATTCAATAAAGCAAAGTAATAAAGGCGCACATACTTCAAGTCTACGGGTCCTCGGCAATCCCCCTTCTTGGAATCTCTTCGAAATTGCATAACTGAGCGAAGAACCGAATGCTCGATCCTCATTGGTGATAGTACCAGAGATACGAACGACTGGCATGACATCAGCATCCTTGCCGTCTGGTCCAACTGGTGTCTCAATGAGACCGATGGAAGCAATGAGGAGACGTCTGTCCCAATGCCTGTCTGGAGGAAGGGAACGGGCCAAACGGAATGTTGGTGAAGCCTCCATAGAAATAGCACCAAAACCGGCATGAATGGGAGCCTCAATTAGATCCATAGAGGCCATTGAGTCCCATACGAGGAGACCTGGTGGACGTTGATCGAAAATAAGGTCCTTGAAGGCTGAAACGGGCATTGCGAGGAGTGGGGAAAGATCTAGCAGAGCTGTCTTTTCATTGGTGTGATCACTTCGTTGCTAAAAGTAAATAAATTGCTTTCAAATAAAACGAAAAACCATCAAGAATTGCAATCTCAACAACACCAAAACGAATCCTAAGTACTAAGACCTAAATTACAATGAAGGAACCACTCCGTAGTTTACACACACTGGAATGTGAACCGGTAGTGCAGAGGTTGAAAATCCAGCCAGTGAGATCGATGCAGGTTCTCGAAGCGAAATGATAAACTTTGCATGCTAAGTCAGATTAACTAGATGAGGATGGTATGATTCCAACTCTCTGCGAGAGGGACTACGCCTTAGCTCAAGATTAGTATTGAAAACACTGTTATGCCTGAATTTAATCAACCTGTACCTAAATTGACCCCCCCCCCCCCCACCTTCATTTCAATTCGCTTGTACCGGGGTTTTCCAAAATTCCTCCCACCCGAATAAGCGCGGTCAATTGGTTCCAAAAATAATTTTATGAAATGGAATTTATCGTTTAATCGTCCGGTACTAGCTGCCGTTTTTACAGATCATTGGCCTCCTCTCACTTTACAAACTCCCATGCCTCTATTTCCTTTACGGTCCCAATTTTTATAACGGAATCACCTTTAATGCATTATTCTCTATCTCGCTTGTGTAAAAAATATCCTGGTAAGCTAGCATAACGATAGCTTATGCTAGCTTAAGAATTCTAAACTGAAATGTTTAGACAAGAGTTCGGGTGTGGTAAGTTTTCTCTCTGGTCTACTATTAACATTTGTATTCACACTCATAATTGTAATGTGCAACAAAATCTACTAATAAAGTGCCATCGTATCAATTCACCCCTAAAATAGCCCTCCCTCAAATAAAGAGAATTTGTAACAAACTAACTCTGAGGAGTTCAGTGCGTCCAGTAATGTCATTGAGTCTGGTGCAACCCAACTTGGCCAAAATCTTGCGAATATCTTCAGCAAGAAGGAAGAGGAAGTTAATAAGATGTTCGGGATGACCAGCGAATTTCTTGCGAAGTACTGGATCTTGTGTGCAGATACCCACAGGGCAGGTGTTGAGATGGCATTTTCTCATCATTGTGCAACCCAATGCGATCAGTGGTGCTGTAGACATGGCGAATTCATCGGCTCCAAGGATAGCAGCAATGACTACATCTCGAGCTAGATAGAAGACAATAATATTGTAATTATGGCTATCAATTTAGTTCCATCCTCTTTACTATGTTCAGGCACACATATACTATCCTCCTTCAACTAATGTTTATTTACTGTTTTATGGTGGTAGAATAGTATGCATCACAAAGTGAGCTTTTCAAATGCCGACGGTAGAACAGGAAAACTCGTACGAAAGCATTATTTCATGTCTCTGACTGGATTAATCAAACCAATGAGTTTTAATTTGACTTAAAAGTAAAATATTCATAAAATTTATGCAAGCGAACTTTCATAGGCCAAATTAATCATATTAATAATTTCCTTTTAGATTTTTTACATCAACAGGGTAGCAATAGGAATTATTCCAGCGACCGCTGGCTTTATTTAACATTAATAACTGTCTATAATATTAATATGTGGTGTTAAATTGATATATTAATACGAGCACCAATATAATCGACATGCGTTTGCAGGCTTGTTTTTGCTTATTTTAAGAAGTCTGAGATAAACATCCCAATAAATACATTTGTAGTCGAATTCCTATTCATAGTAGCCATTAAACTTTGTTCCCAGTTTTGGAACCTTAGATTAGCAAGAGGCAGGCGCGATTACTTGCACTAGCATAACTTCAACTCACCTGTACGAATTTGACCATCAGCTTGAAGCACAACCTTCGATCGAGTATGGTTGTTCACTAGGACCTGATGAGTCTCAGCAATACCCAGTTCCCACGGCAAACCAGCATTCTTGATACCAGTCCAGGAACTGGCACCTGTTCCACCGTCATGGCCAGACACGATGATATGAGCAGCATGAGCCTGGAGGAATAAAGACATTGGTTAGTGGCTTTGTAATTTTACAGCGCGTTTTAACCACTAATACAAAAATAAAACAATCTATTAGACAGATTTACAAGAAGAAGTCTCAACATGGCTCGGATCACAACACATCAGGAGTTTATAGATCTACTGGTTAGTACATGTAAAAATCGTGATACACACAACAACCATACAAATACGAAGAATAATTAAGCATCTAACTAACGACTCAAACTAAACTCAATTTAACCTGTTGTTGTCCGTAGGCCTAAAGAAAACATGCAAAGTTATCAGGAAAAAAAGTAAGAAAAATAGGGATAAATAAACATGAATATGTAGAGAAATAGGGGGGGGGGGGGGTATTTCAAACCTTTGCGACACCCGAAGCAATAACGCCAACGCCGACTTCTGAAACCAGCTTGACACTGACGACTGCCACTGGATTAGCAGCTTTCAAGTCATAGATCAACTGCAAAAAGGAAATATAGTAACAGGTTAGTGTCGAAATGAGTGAAAACAGCAAACAATTCAAGGAATAATATGGGGTTACACTTACCTGAGCGAGATCTTCAATTGAGTAGATATCATGGTGAGGTGGTGGAGAGATGAGACCAACACCCGGAACAGAGTGCCTAAGACGAGCAATCTCCGCCGTAACCTTGAAACCAGGCAACTCACCACCTTCACCAGGCTTGGCGCCTTGAGCCATCTTGATTTGGAGCATATCGGCATGAGCTAAGTAGGAACTATTTACACCGAAACGAGCCGACGCAACCTGTTTTATGGAGGAACTGATGGTAGGATCCATATAGCGTTCCGGAAGTTCACCTCCCTCTCCTGTGTTTGAACGAGCACCAATTGTGTTCATTGCTCGGGCGATTGTACTGTGGGTCTCCGCAGAGATTGAACCCAAGCTCATGGCACCTGTGGCAAACTTTTTGACAATTTCACTTGCTGGTTCAACTAGGTCGAGAGAAATGGGTTCTTCAGCATAGTTGAACTCTAGCTGACCTCGAAGAGTGCAGTAGCGAGCTTGCTCATCGGCGCTCTTTGTAAATTGACGGAAAGCGTCAACACTATTTTTACGAGCTGCGTCCTAAAAAATAAAGAAAGTCAATTATTAGAAACCCGAACAACGTCAAGGCATTCAGATTAATGTTGAAAAAATCCTTCTAAACTAACGTCAATTCTAACCCGAAAAGATATTTCTGTCTATCCACGCGATGATAGCTTGCAAGAACAAGTTGAAATGTGAAATAAACAAGATGTCGTGTTCTATGAGTCCTTATGAAGTTTCCAATACGTACCAGTATAACTTTATGAGGGAAACACAGTTTTGATTTAGAGTGTAATTCCCAACATTGGATAGACATAAAAATGTTTAATAGCAAAAAGGATAGTCAATAACATCAAGTATTAAGGAGTTCCAAGGTCAATAACCACGCTTCGTGAGCTGGTCATCGGTTATTCGCAAATAGATAAAAATGAACTCTTAGACCCCATCGAGCTATTTTGATCATGCTTATAAGTAGGGACATTCGATCTTAATTCAAGTGGACTAGCATGCGGAAATTTTAACTCGCCTGAAGCTTAGCGATAGTAGCAGGTTCGTTCATATGGCGTTCACCACCCTGTCTCCAGTGATAAAAGCCAGGATTTCTTGCGTATAAGCCGACACCCGGAGCGCATTTTTCTTCACCGCTCGCAGAATAAGTGCATTCCAGTTGGGGATCAACCATTGTGCCATTAGCAGTATGAACCAACCCGAAGGCTCTCGAATGACGAGAGCACATTTCAGAGGCAAGAATAGCAAATCCAGAACCAGAAATTCGTGAGGCCGTCTTAGTGAAGCACATATCCACAACATCTTGTGACAAGCCCACGGCCTCAAAGATTTGAGCAGCTTTATAGGACTGCAGTGTGGAGATACCCATCTTGGCCATAACCTAAGAAAATTGTAATATATGATCTACTGAAATAATTTAGGTAACATGGTGAACATTTTTGCAAACCTTCAAAATTCCGTTTTCGATGGCTGTCACGTAGTTCTTGAAGAAAGCTTCATCACTGGATTTTGATGGATCAGCACCAGTAGGAGTGAGCATTCCTTCATCACGAAGACGCCTGATCATCTCGAAGACCATATATGGACATATGGCATCAGCACCGAAGCTCAGAAGAGTACAGAAATGATGTACTTCTCTAGCGTCACCAGATTCTACTACCAAACCGACTTTCATTCTCAGCTTTACCTTCAGCAGGTGTTGATGCACAGCACCGACAGCAAGTAGAGAAGGAACTGGTACCATTGATGGACTAACCTTTCTATCTGAGATGATGATTATATTGACACCCTCCCTCACAGTTTGTTCAGCGTCAGAACAGAGTTTTTCAAGAGCTGCTTTGAGAAGGTTGCCCAAATCAGCCTTGGTTGTTTCTGGACGGAGGACAAAAGAGGCCTCAAGGAGGCGAGAACGCCAACCGTAGACTTGAGAGCTGGTTGGCGGCTTGAAAGTAGGGTGTGGTGGATTTTGGAGAGAACGGAAAAGAAGCATGTCGTAGAGGGAAAGAATGGGTTGGTTCAACCAAAGACGGTGGGCCTGAATTGGACTTGGCTCCAACGCGTTCGCTTCTGGACCAATTGGACAAGACTATTTTGACAAAACGAAATGCAAAGATTAAAGCCCGTTTGAAATCAGGAAAACTACTTTTACTCATTTCGATACAAAGTAGGAGGGAAAGACCTTCCTAAACTTCTGAACGCATTAATTCACTTGTCCTATGTTTAACTATATTTGTTTTTTATTAATGCCTTTTGATCTTTTGAACGTGTTTTAGTTACTAAACTAAATACAAACCTTTCCTACAGCCTTTCAAAGTAGTGTTAGTTAATATAAAACAGTTTATTGTGTAAGTCAATGGTCTACGAAACCAAAGAGCAACTGGCCCGATCCTACATCCATAGAGATAAGTGCTGGCTTATAAAGGAGCATGAAGGTATAATAAAGCAGTTTCATTTAGGCCTATTATTTTGAAATTTACCTCAAAGCCTGTCTTGCGGACAAGAAAGATATCTCGGTCATCTCTTTACAGCCTAGTTTTGACCAGTACATACATAGTTCATATTGCCTACTGCATGGTTGTTACATAACAAATGTTTTAGATGAAATTGGAATTCTCTATACTTCTGGCTAAATAAATAATATGTTATTTATAGCTTAGACAGAAGAACTTAAGGCCGACACCCAAAGAAAGCTGGGAAAAAATTTAGTTAGAAATTAGCTCACCAGCGACATGACAATTCTTTCACGGAATGGGTCGATTGGTGGATTTGTGACCTGGGCGAAGAGTTGTTTGAAGTATTCATAGACCAGCGGATCGTACTCAGAAAGACACGCAAGAGGTACATCGTTACCCATAGAGCCTAGAGGTTCTTTCCTGTTGTTTTGCAAGAGAAAAGATAAGAGTGTGGATAAAATGGTGCCAATGAGTTTGGATTAAAATAAGGTTTTAAACTAATTAAATTCAGGCCAATCGCCAAAGCATGAGGAAATAAAGGCAACGCCTCACAATCAATGCAATTTTCAATCCAGAATGACGTTTTACCCAGCTAAACTTGAAAAGATTTTTTCAGTTTTCCCGCATAAATTCCTTTAGTTATACAGTGGACGAACTTTATAGACGTTATAATTTTGGACCTGCGACTAGCCCCAAATGTTTATTTACATAGAATAACTTTGTTAAATGCAATTGGGTTCATAGCTAATTCTGTAATACACAGGATCACTGGACCTGATAAACTCGGCTGCTTCCATGTATCGGCCTGGCAATTTTTTTGGATTTCGAAATAGCCAATAGAACTAAACATTGTTATGAGTACGTTATGCACACGTCATAGTTTGAAGCATAGTTTTTCTTTCCAGACGCTGCTTTAACGATAACGGCAAACAAATTAACTTCTCTTCTTAAACTCATACAAAAATATTCCACTCAATTATCCTAGTGTACGTTATGATTACAAATTCTGACTTAATTTCCTATTTGGACAATATCTACTAAATTGGGAAATATAAATATTCGCGCGATAATTTGAGTGGTCTTTCCCAACCCGTTGTTGATATTCACATTTTAGACTTTGTATAAGTCCATCCCCCCCCCCCCCCCCCCCACCATCCCAAAATGCTTGCCAACGTGACCTTATCAAGTCAGGTACAACACATTTAAAAAGTAAACTCCTTCCTCCTTAGTGGAATTAATAAAATTGTAAAATACATTAAGCTAAACAAAAACCCTTGCTCTGAAACTCGGAGTTATTCCGTTCAATGCGATTACGGGTAATCTGAGCTGACGAAAAGTTTGCATCCCACCTTGTATATACCATCTTTTAATAAATCCATTTTAAATTATGTTTGAACGCCTTTTCGCCAATAAAAGCTTGAATCAACAAATCGATGGACATTATTGGAAGAGCCTATTCTCAAGAAGAAAATTTACTGGCCCGTTCAAAGTCAGTGGAGCGAAATCTAAATTTCATCAAATAGAAAGAGAAGAGAGGAGGAGAGAGGGGAGGTAAAGAGAAGGGGCAGTAAAAGGAGGCCAATTTTGTTTTTATTAATCTAATTCAATCGCGGATTTTGTGTTACTATGATACACTGGTGCAGACAAAATTGAAAATCTGTAAAACTTAATCATATTTGATTTGCTAATGGACAGTCCATCCCTTTAACACTCAAAATTGAGGGATTAGGAAAAGCAATTCCCTTAATTTGCTAATTCAACTGTGAATCTCAAGCTAAACCAACCTAAAAATTGAAAGTGGAAGAAAAATAGATACTCCAGATCAACCAAGTTAAAATCCTAAGCCAGCAGCTTATATTCAAGTACTGTTAATACTTAAAGGCTGTTGAGTCAGTTCTTCAAATTTATTTCCTCGTTTACCTTTGATTCCTTTCAAATACAAATTCCACCATGAATACTTCACTGCTGATGGACTTTCAATCCGTGACTATTTCTGAATGGTTGAATAATAATAAGCTAGATTCCATAAACGGGGTTCTTCTACACCAGAAAGAGAATAAGGAGATACCTTAAGTTGATAAGTAGATAGCTAGCTACTTTCATTGACAATAGTTGACAGAAATTACGAATAAAAATTTCAAGAGCTGCTTAGATTACTATAAATAATTCCGTCCAACGCGAAAAAAAACATGCAACGAATGGCAGTTGCAATGAAACATGTTTCGAAAGGCTAAACATTCATAGTGATAAAAAAATACAAACTAGATGAGTAGTTTTAGTCAAAATATATAAGACAAGAGCACCTTCCCTGGAAATAGTACTTTTCAACTGTTTATAACTCTTCATATACCTAAGCAGTATTATTTCAGATAATATTAGTAAAATAGTTTGAAAAACTAGAGAATGGATAAGAACAAAGACCATTTTCAGCCCATTTTCAAGTCATGTATCACTGTGTTCTTTGTAAACAAGGTATTCGAGATTTCTGAACTCTAGGCACCCCGACTTGGGATTCCAACAATTTCTCCTTACCTTTCACAAAGTTGGATCTAATCAAGCATAAAGTAATATGAACGCACGATAATTCTCCATAAAGTTCAAATTGCAAGGAAATGTCTGATTAGCCTTTGGTCAGCTCAAAAAGCCCCGTTTCTCTAACGAAAACGTGTAATTCCGATTCGTTATTTCCATTATTAGCATAGAGCATAGGGGCAAATGAAGCGCAACCAAATAGGAGGAACACTTCAAGATGCAATGCGACCACAAATGCATTCTCTTCTCTTTCTAATCTAAGCCAACATGTGCCTGCCTCAAAACTAATCCATTAAAAAGGTGTGGTTAAAAGGGAGACCTGTTTGTTAAGGGAAAGTCACTTGGGTAATATACAAGCCTGTCTATTAGTTAACTAGGGCAAAAAAACTTTTATCAATTAAATTAGTACTCAAATTGTGATCATAGGCACAAGTTAACTCTCATTTAACTTGAGCTAAGTGAATTAAAACGAAATGACATCAATGAGGCCCAACGAATTTTTTTTTTCAAGTTTTTATGACCACTTAAACAGCCTCACAAGGAATAAAAAATGGTTGGCGCAGCCGTCTTGATTTTTGAATCAAAGTTATCTACAGCAGAAAGCAGCAAAGGTTCCATGAGAAAAAACAGAGGTATTGATTGAGATGACAATGGAAACTGGAAGTAGGTGAAAATCTTTTCTTGATGGCAGAATAATTACATATCACTTGTCTCACCCTTAGTAAATTACATTTTGGAAGCTTTAACCATCTTGGCTAAATGTAACTGAGACTCGAACCATTTCATCAAATGGATTAAAATAAACATTAGTGACATCAAATAACTCAAACCTATTATTCACAAAGAACTGAGTGGCGGTAGCTTAGACAGAGCCTCACAAACCGACCGATTTGTACTTTTTACCCGTTAGACAGTTGTCATGAGCAGAACCCGTAGACAGGCTTGTTTCGATGACTCGTGAATTGACCAACCACAGAAAAAGTTGGAAGAGTCGAAACAATTGAGCCATCTACATTTTCCTAATTTTGTTTAGTTTTTTTTAAATATTCAGTCGGAAGGACAGCTAATTCAACTTTCTACCTTTGAAGAATTCAGTTGACCATTTGACGAGGTCCTTCGCTTAGAGAGGCACCACACCACACTGACCATAACATTTAATTAGACTATGAAAAGAAAATAGCCTTAAAAATGCATGACAATAGAAATGACTATGACAGGCATATGATGAAAAGGAGATGCGTTCCTCTTTTCTCTAGCTTATGACAAACAATAGAAAGCAAAGAAGTGCTTAGAGGAGCTGAATCTCAATACGGTTTTCTTGGAGAAATCTATTTAATACGAAATATGATATTAATTCTCAGTCAAGAGGGATTCAAATATGATGTATGTGGACAGCGTCTACGTCATTTTGGAGCAAAAAACAAGGACTTCCTAACATGGCCCAAGGCCACAGGGTACTTAATTTACCATGCCTAATGTCATTAGTATTCTGCAGTAAGTAGCCAGCCTTGACAGGAAGAATGAACAAAACTGCTACTTTTACTGAAAATCTCATCACTGTGGTCATTTTGGTGCTTAAAATATTCTACGTTTTCTTCTTGATTATGCAACTAGGGCTGAATCAACTTTTCCTGTAGCAGAAGAATTATCTCAGCCTGACAAGTCAGGATAATTTAGATACCTACAGTCATACTTATTAGTCTTTTTTACGAAAACTAAATATCTATGTTTTCTTATTGACCTAGGTAGATCAAGGTCTTTTGCAAGCGACTCTGTAACCGTCAAGTTGTAAATTCAGTTAACTTACTGATTACTAAACATGGGTAGCAGAAGCATGTTGATGTTTTCTGGAGTGAATCCAAAAAGTGGCAGACGAGGATCATGCACGAGGGAGTCGGCAGTACCAGTGCTGCATCCACCGTTGAGCGCACTAAGTTCTGCTGCCGCCTTTTTGGAAAAGGCTTCCACATCAGCTTGTTCGATCGGTCCACGAGCAGCGTGAAGTTGTTCAAGGTTAACAGCCTAGGAGGGAAGATTGCAATTTAAATTAATTGAAAACTTTTAACCATTACTAAAAACAAATCACTATGTAAAGTTTCTTTAAAGTGACATTTCTGGCAAATAATTTTTAAAAAGTAAACTGAAGGATGAAATGGGAGAAAGGGGAACAGATATCAGGTTTTTATTTTTCAATATACTTGTGCTTCTGAAGCGAGGGCACTTAACACCAAACAGGAACATTAGAAATCTAGTCATTTTATGCAGCTATAAATGCAGGGATATATAGCCTTTTTTGTTAAATTTAGCTTCTCGTATTAACATAAAGAGGGATCTACAACAGCAAGTTCACAAAAATTAATTTTCAGCTTGAATTACCCATCGCTGCCATCATGCCCTTGAGCCCATGCACAAAAAAGCAGAACTTTGACAGGAAGCTTTGACGAATAAAACTCATTAAATTTAACCCAAATTAAAATTTCAAGCCACGTTAAACACATTACCCGGTTTTAGATTTGCATTTAAAGCACTCAAATTCATTTTAGGCTAACAAACGTTTTATATCATTTTATCACTATCTGGTACGATTTTAGCCAATCTGTGACAATTTCTTGTTAGAATCAACGCAATTCAAGTTTTTTTAAATAAGAAGAATTTTTAATGATAAGTAGTTTCCCTGAGGTAAGACGTAGGCTAATCAGTCTTCTGTTAGGTGGCATTTTTTAAAGAAAGGACCCATTAGAAAAAGAAATGATTTATGATTTTGATCAAGTTAGTGATTTTTTGGTTGTGGGATCTAATATTCTGGTTTTAAACCAGATCAAATACTTCCGGTGAGCCAGAAATGGAAAGCAGAATAAGTGAATTGAGTAAATGATAACAAATGACACCGTGAATAATATTGAGCTTATTTACAGTAATAGAAAAGAAAATTGGAAGTGACCCCCGCCTTCAGTAGCACAAAGGAATACCACAGAATAGAAAGGAGAGAGATTAAGTTCTGAGAGAAGTAAATTAACTTTTCAATCAGCTTGTGGGAAGGGGGGGGGCAGCCTCCATTTCACTGTCGTCTCTCTCTCCCCCCCCCCCCCCCCCCCCCACTCCCCAAGATTAATATGATCCAGGTGAGCACGCACGTGAGAGCATGCGCATGAACGCATTTGCCGCCAGTAGCTTGCAGCCCTCTGTTTCCCAATAGGCGCCCTGTCCCCTGCTCTACCTGCTTGCCAGCCTAGCAGGGTTATACCCCTTCTCTACCTTTATTGATTAGTAAGCAGCTGCAGGCGTGGTTGTAGAGTAGATTAGTGGTCGTTTCAGAAGCAGCATAAGCAAAAGTGTTGGTGTTGGTGGGGTTGGCAATGGTGACAAGAGCGTTCACGCACTTTCCCGTCAAACTAGCATATTGAGGAGGGGGGAGGAGGGTGTGCGTGTATATCTCACTTAAACTACTTCTTTTAACAACCTTAGGTACTAGATAGATGCATGAACTTGTACGTTCTCTTCACCCACTTTTTTTTCTAGTCAAATTCATGAACCGCTGAATTTATATATAGGAGATACCATGAGCCGTTAGGACTGAAAAAGATAAAAGTCTTTCTTCTCTTCCAGGCAAAAAATTAGCTCAAGTGTTATTTTTTACTTCAAATCTGGTACTGATTATAATCTCGACGTGTAAAGTAACTTGTGGAGAATTGCAAAGAACTTTACCTAACAACAGGAAACTTGACTATACGCAATATGCAGGAACAGGTCAAATAGGCTAGTGAATATGAATATTATAGCCATTCAATTTCAAGTAAAAGCCAAGCAAACAATCAAACAGCCTAGAAGTATAAATGAAACATTCAAGATTTCAGATAGAAGAGAGGAGGTCTCCAAACGAGGGTTATTATTGAAGAGTCAGCGATATTCGCTTAGTAAAATGAATTAGCATAAATCATAAGTCGCAAAAACGTGGGAAACACGACTCAGTCAACGTGGAGTCTGGATGGGGTTGCGGTTCGCTGACAAGTATAGATCGATGTAAATCATGTCTGAGGAAAATAAATTGGTCAACCATAAAAGAAAATAGTCAAATTAAACTTATAATCCCTTAATATCCACAAGAAAGGTAACAAAATTTTACCAGCTAAAATGGGAGGAGCATATTGGAGTACCCAAAAAAACATTGTAAGAAAGGCATTAAGAATGACTTAATTTTGATGATATGACTGAAATAGCTATTAATTGCTAGGTAACCATTTCCTTTGTTTTAGAGAAGAAAAATGTAAATAACTACTCTCTAATGTTCAAATACTCGATTTCTCCCACATCGGCACGTAAGGATCCACTATGCATAAATGAATACATCTATCGAGAAGGTTCAAATATTTTGCATATTTCACTGAGTGTGTTAACAATGATTTAGGAACTCTCTACCCCATAAATATTTTATCACTGCCGAGAAAGGAGATGGGAAAAATAAGCCATGTGCGACACAAACAACGCGTAAATGCTAAAAATTTGTCTTTTTTGACAAAAAACGTCGCCAAAGCACCAGAAGTCACGGGGATTTCATGACGTACGTAAGCGAGGTGATGATTCATCATTCATTCATGTGAATACAATACGGTACACACAGCATTACCCTAAATGGGCTTTAAAGTGCTAGACACAATTAATTGTCTGGTCGATTTTAACTGTGAAAGATAAAGCAAGTTCAAAACCGAATTGCAATTCTGAAACAAATACGTAGGTAGGTGGCGAGTAGATGGTGTCCTTTAGGCATGCGTGGCCAAGGTGATCTGTGTAAAGATTATTTCCATCAATGACGAGGAGCAAAATAGAAAATGAATTCTCCGCATTCAATACAAATTCCTCCAATACGAACCCAATTGGTAGGATAATAATTCAAATACTACTAAAACTACCATAAAGAATTACTAAAAAGACACAAATGCCAAACGCTAAGTGATCTATCTTGCACTACTGAATTTGAATGAGTAATTATCGGATCATTACCAATAAATAGTTACATGTATTATCCTCAAAGATAGTACATTTCACCCTCAGTCCTATCCCTTACTTATCCAAATTCATAAATTTCTGCGATTATGGCGCCCATCTCTACTTAAGGCAAAAGATCTTAAACTCGCTGTTTATCTTCAAATTCAAGTTCTTTTTCCTCATAAATAATCAGAAGTGCCTGCAAGAATATTTACTTTTACCTTCTGTCGAAATTTCGCTTTGAAATTTCTACGTTCTAATATTAGAACAGGAGGTGCCCAATAGACTTACCTCCACGTGGTGCACCTTGGGCAACGTATACTTATACGGCAAAAAAGTCTATTGATCGGCAGTTGACTTCTGACTTCAAATTTCTATGGCCCGACTATTTTTCATATTCGACCCCTTTCACAGTACTCATCTTACCTTTTTTATACCTTTGTGTCTGTCTGTCTGTCTGTCTCTTTTACCTCTGTGAATCATTATTCTGTCTCCCATCTCGACTTTTTGTCACTTTGATGTCCCTTCTCCTCTTCGTGAAGCCCCGAAGTCAGCTCCAGGGCTAATGATAACTATCAAAACGCCTGCCATTT